TTTTTTGGTGCCAGGGATGGAACTTGGGCCCTATGTGCTTGTGAGGCAGGTGGCAGAACCACTGAGCCAAATCCCCCACTCATCTTGTATTTCTAACACTACAGTAGGTAGGCCTCTATATCATATATGGAGCTCAAAAATCAGATCACACTTCCAATTAGACAGGAGACTTGTTTTTATATTTAAAACATGTTGAAAAACGTAAGTTTCAAATGTTTATTTGCCACTTCTGTTGCTTTTCAAATTACTAGAACTACTGTTAGCACTGACTGGCCGAGAATTACTGCCTACTGGTGAAGAGTCTGGGAAGTTGAGCTCTAATACTTTAATTGAAGCCTGAGAAGCAGAAGTATTAATGCTACTTCTAGATGACCTAGGGAAAAAAGAAGAAATATATCATAGATATAATGCAAATTTATATTTGATAGAGACCCCCTCATTGAAAAAATACCATAATTCTGTAAGAGATAAAAACGTACATATAATAGTCTTAATAAATTTTTAAAGTATGATATTAATATCAAAAATAATTTTAAAAGAAATAGGAACATAATTTCAATAAGTAGTTCAGTATGTTTCTGTGAGAAAAATATTTTCAGCCTCTTAGCAGTTTAAGAGTTGGAAACACTAAGAAAAGTTTGCAGGAGTAATTAAAATAATAGCTTGTGTAATTTAAGCTAAAGAGGAAAGTGAGCTGTGTTAGCAGAGAAAATGTTGGGATTGTTTAGAAAACTGGCATACAATTAAAATGTTTTAAAAATATATTTATGAAAGTTCAGAGAAGTTTACTTAATATATTTATGTAGAAACAATTTTTAATACTTAAGCACTGTTTTTTAGGCCCTCCTCTTTTCTCCCTAAAATCTCTCTATGGACTAATGAAAGTTATTAAGTAGAAGCTGATTATTAGAGATTGGAAATTCTAAAATCAGGATCATCTTTAATAAATTTTGTTTTGCCAGCACTGCGTGAATGTTGATTAAGCATCCCTAATGACAGAATTCTGTTAACATTCACTTGCAGGAGGAAAAAAATAACTTCCTTCGTAGCAAAATATAAAACGCTTGATTATGTAAAATTTCACGAATTTGACTTTAATCACAAAAATTATAGTCTCCGTATGTGTACATCTGTGTTGCCATTTTATAACTTAAAAAGATTGTATTAACATTCCACTTACCTTGGTGATACCAGTGAGGCCTGTGAAGATGATGTAGAACTCTGGTGGCTCCCTTTTATATTAGCTATCGGTAGCTCTAACCCATTCTGGAAAAATATTTAACAACAATCATTAGACCTACTGCATTTAGGGAAAAAAAAATTTTTAATTAAATTTTACTTTACCATGAACATAAGATTTTTATTTAAAGTGTTTAAGAAATTAAGGTGGGGGATGTAGCTCAGAGGCAGAGCATTTGTCCTAGAATTCACAAGGCCTTAAGTTTAATCCCTAACACCAAAAATAAAAACTAAAAAACATACTACATTACCTGCTTAAAATACGTTTGAAGGATAAAATGGATTGCAGCATTTTCTTTTATACAGTCAACTAACATTTCATCAACAACCTTACGAAATTGTTTCACTTCACGGAGTTTAATGTCTTGTTCTTCTGGTGTTTCATCTCTTGTTTGTTTCAGAAGACGGATATCTTTTGTGAGTTTTGCACACTGGTGGTAAAATAAAGTCTATTATATAAGCCTATTTTTCAAGAATTTTTAAGATGAAGGATCTTGAGTTTACCATTTAAGACTAAAACATGTAAATATGAGTCAGTTTTAGAAAGATAACTATACCTGTTTAGTCACTCTCTCTAATTTTGGCTTCTGCTCCTCAGTTTCTTTGTGTAGTTGAGATGCAAAAGCTTGTTTCTCTGATAGTTTCTCTTTGACATTATTTGCTAAATGCTCTGTAAGTTGTAAAGTGTTTTCCATGCTCTGCAGAAAAGTTTTATCATACTGATTAGAATAAAAAGCTGACTTACCATTTGCCATTTGTCAAGTATTCATGTAATTCCTTTATTTTTGTATATAATACACATTTATACATTTGGTAGATAAAGAAGCATCATGGTCTTGTGAATTAAGTTTTGTATATAATTCCACTGAAAAGTATTTTAATTGTACATAGAAAAAATAATATAAACAATCAGTGAAATACATTTTTCAGATTTCTTTCAACTTTCTTTGTTAAAAAAAGTTTTTACAGATAGGGCCTGCTTACAAAGCCTGTTTTTTGACTTTCCATGACTTCCTTTAGATTATTTTTATCTCTTAAACTTTAAGGAGCAATCTTAATGTGATCTTTAAGAAATTAAATAAAAGTTAATTAAATTGGTGAATGGGTAATTGTGCCTAACACGGATTTTAATGATTTACCTAATACTGCCATCACTTGTTTAAATGAAACATGTGTGAGTCTTCTTTAAATTAGACTCATATCTCTTACTTGCTTCCTAAAAAGGCTTTAAGTAACTGTTTTCTTTGTGTAGGATAAAGAGACTAGAAGTAGTAGTAATGATAGTTGGTTTTTATCAAGTGTTTATTTTTAAAGAGCATTTAGAACTTACCTGGATGTCTTCTTGAAGTTCTCTAATCTGTCTCTGTTTGTATCTGTATTTTTCATCAGCAGCTCTTCTTTGTTCTTCTAGTTGAATTTTTAGCTGATACTCATCACCTAGAAATCAGAGAATTTTGTTTGAGTTTTCAGTATACTATAAAGCAAGCAATTTTAAAGAATTATATACACGCAACTTGTAACTTTTTTTGGTTATGAAAGGTTAAATTCCTTCTGCCCGAGGAAAAACCATTTGTAATGTAATAGCTATTTCTTTGGATAATAAACAGTGGCGACGTGCTTTTTTTTTTAGATGTAAAAACTTTCCTGAGAAGTGATAACGCCACATACCAATAGCACTAATAATTTAACACCTTAGTGAGCTCATTACTCAGAAGGGGAGAAGGGTGGTTGATTTTCTGACCCAGTGAAAGATGATACACTTTTGTTATCCATTCCTCATAGTGTCCCTCTTAAGTAAATATTCAGCTATATTACACACACACACGTGTGTGGTAAAAACTTTCCTGAGAAGTGATAACGCCACATACCAATAGCACTAATAATTTAACACCTTAGTGAGCTCATTACTCAGAAGGGGAGAAGGGTGGTTGATTTTCTGACCCAGTGAAAGATGATACACTTTTGTTATCCATTCCTCATAGTGTCCCTCTTAAGTAAATATTCAGCTATATTACACACACACACGTGTGTGTGTAAGCACTTGCAAGGTGTTTCCTAGAGCATAGATTTCTTTTTCAGCTTTGTTGATCTTAGCATCCAAATTGTCACCTTCCCTTTGAAGTTCTTCTTTTTCTTGAGCAGCCTATAAATTAATAGTTAAATAAAAGTTATTTATCATAGAGGAAATACCTGTCTTTGAAGCAGATGATAGACTCAAAACAGTGTCATTTTACCTGAGGGCCTGCACATGGTCCCAGGCATTTGTTTATACTTTACAAGGCCAAATCCTCACGCCTTCAAAATGTGATACATAGAATACAAAAACTGATGGAAATGTAGTAATTAACTCAAACTTACATAAAACTCTAGCAAACAGTTGCCAAAAAATGAAGCACTGTGAAATTTACTGAAAAGAGAAAAAGGGTTAACTAGAGAGGGGCTTGATAGTAGTAGGTATTAAGTTAGAATGCTTTGGCTGGGGATTTAGCTCAGTGGTTTCGCCGCCAGCCTTGCAAGCACAAGGGCCAGAGTTCAATTCCCGGTACCAATAAATAAATAAACAAACAAACAAACAAACAAACAAATAAATAAATAAATAAGAAAGAAAGAAAGAAAGAATGTTTGGAGCCTGAAAATGCAGGAATACTATCATTTCAAATCTTGGGGTAGTGTAAAAAATGAATAAGGTGCATGGTGGAAAAATAATTATTTCCTGTGTATTTTGTCACAAAAGAATTTTGTAAAGTAGATCATTGTGATAAATTTGACTAGAAAACTTGGAAGTCGCAAAACCAGTTTGCTCTGTGAGTTTGACGCACAGTACTCAGTGACTTTTTACCAAGATAACCCACTGGGCTAGGCTTTCTACAGATCTTCCAAACAATTCCAAAGAATTTTTCAGATTAGAGGTTGACAGAAGTAGCAGCCATACATATTAAATGACATAAAGCTGGGCATGATGGCACAAGTTCTAGAACATTGCCTGGCTACCTGCTTCTCTGTTCTTCAGGACAAAAGAGATGACAACTGGCAGGCCTTTTCTGATGTTAACTGGAAATGAACACTTTCTGTTGAAATTCTCACCAGTATTGAGCAAACACTGCTTTCTCCCTTGCTGAAGCAGGAGGATTGCGAGTTCAAGGCCAGTGTGGACAATTTATCAATATCCTACCTCAAATAAAAATGGGCTAAGGATGTATGTAGCTCAAGCTACCTGGCTTCAGCTCCCAGTACTAAATGAACACATCACAAAATTGATACTTAGTCAAAATCAAGTAATACTTTCAATCACCAAGTACATACTGAAAGCAGAATGTAGTTAATGAAAAAGATGTTTTATAAGTAACATTTCCGTTTTTAACATTTTCACTAGCTATTTTCAAAATATGAGTTACAAACACTTTTAACATACTAAATAGTAAAAATCACAAAGAAATATTTGAGGAAAGATGCTTATTAATTTTAAAAGGTGCTCTGATGTTAGCGTTATACACATGTATGGGAACATTGCATAGTGCCACATATGTTCAATTTTTATGTTTTGAAAGCACAGCAAAACACAAAAGTTGTTAGATTTGTTATATCTACTTCCTTTGAGTGTAGATGTGGCAACCATTTCACTTGGAATGTAGTGTAATGGGAATGAATCAACATTCAGGTTTTAGTTGTGGCTTGACTACCTGTGAATTGAGTCACAGTAACTCACTTCCCTTTTGAGCTCTGTCTTCATTTTTCAGTTGGAAATATTGAATTTGTTCATCCTATAATTCCACAGTATACCTTGGACTTCTAAAGTTACTAAGTCTCCTGGTAAAGTCAGATTATATAATGTATATTTTGCCTAGAAAATTTGATATTTGGAAGACATTTTGATGACCTTTTTTAATATTTCAGAGCATTTTCAAGTACCTTAATTGGACAGTTGCACTACATTACAGTCAATTAGTTTAGATCCTTATAACAACTAAGAGGAACTTGGAAATAAGATTTTATGCCAGTTCATCACTGGTTAATTTACTTTTCAGACTAGCTGTTAAAAAAGAGATACTACAAGATATTAAAACATTAACTAAAAGCTCTGTATGTATGCCCCATGCCATAGACTACTGCAAAGCCACAAACAGACTGTGAGCAGAACTATGTCCATGAAAAAAACAGATTGAAGTCCTAACCTTCAGTACCTCATTGTGACCTTACTTGGAAATAAGGTCTTTGCAGATGAATTCATTAGGGTGGCCCTTAATCTAGTAAAACTGGTGTGTGGCACAAGTGGGAAACTGACACAGTTGTGTTCTGAGGAAAGACTGGTGACAGGAAGAACAGCAAGTGAAGGTGAAGACGTATCAGGGTGGGGTACCTACAAGCCAAAAAGTACCAGACTACTCGTGAGCCACCAGAAAGTAGGAGAGACGTAAAACATCTTCCTACCCACCAGCCTTGTCAGAACATTCATCATCTGGTCTGCTGAGCATAAGACAAATTTCACTCTAGCTGATGACAAGAAAGCTTGGAGAGAACTGATTTCCCGTAAGTTAGGCAGAATTTCCAGAAAAGTGGCAAAAATTCCAATTTAGTGTATGTGTTAGGGGCAGTCCCGAAGTAGGACCACACAAGAAAACCAGAGCTTAAGGGATATGTAGAAGCACAGAGAGTAACCACAAGGACCATCTTCCAAGAGTATAAATTGAGAGATCTCCCTACCCCACCTGTGTGTGATACAAAGACACTGTAGTGTGTTGAGTGATTCCCTAGACATTTCTATAAAGGAAATCACACCTACTTAGTTATTTTATACGGGGAAGTGGATGTTGCAGTATTCAGAAAGAAAATTACATCCAACTCCTTATCACTTCTGAATTCCCTCGTGGGTTTTTAGGAAAAGGTAAGCAGACAACTCAATGCAGTTTCACCTGATAGGTCTCCTGTATAATAAGAAAGCAAAGAGCAGCCCTCTTCCTCCGGAAAGCTGCTTACCAGGACTACAGTTGTAAACTGGAGTTTAGGATTCAGGGTAATGTAGCTCCAGAGAATGATAAAGTCCTGGGGATGGCATGCAAGCAGCTGGCTGCATAGTGAAAAACCTTCTACGCATTGTGCCAACTGTCAGATGCATGCTGAAGGTGCCCAAAGTGAAAATAATTCTTAGAGCAAAACATTATTATTAACTTTACTAAATGAGATAAAATGACATGATACAAATGATAACAAAAAAAAGTGTTAAAGATAATGGTTGAGTAGATGACCTGCACTCCAGTGGATAGGTTTTGAACAAGTTTGCAGTAGATCTTGGAAACCAGAGAGCAGTGCTTTGACCTCTTAGACTGGAGGTGCACAGAACACGTAGTGCATTAGTATCTCCATCCAACAATCAATGTTTTGACCTTTTAAGTGCAATAGTCAATGGCTCTAATGAAGTGAATAACTGCAGTATTTTGAAGAATTTTTCAGTACGGTTCTTTTAAATCCAGAAGATAACTATAAAGAAAGGATACTTCAGACCAGTATGATTTAAATCAATGAAGATTACCTTTATTACATAATAGGCCTGTGTTTTTTCCTCTTCTCCTTCAGGAGGCAGCATAACAACAGTAAGAATTTCATATCTGTTTTTCAGCTTATCAATTTTACTGAGTCGTTCATGGAACTCACCACTAATATAAAAAAAAATAATTAAAAGACTAATGTGTTTTTATTGAAAATAGTTGAATTTGTGTTACTACTGAATTTAAACAACAGGTTACATGTGTTATGCTTTTTAATTGAGTTAATTCAGTGTGGAGGGTTCACATTTGACCATACTTGAAAACATAACAAATTACCATGCCACAGTTTCATGGATGCTGGCAGAAAGACAAATTTTCCTGTGGCAGAAGCAAAGGACTTTATAATTTATGGCCAAGCAAGTAACATGAACTTTTTATTTGCATTGGTTCCCCCTTACTCTTCACAAGGAAGGGCTCAACTGGATGCTATACACATATAGTGGATTTGTGTCACAACTGAGAAACCTCACACTGAGGCAACCCAACTATTAGAAAAGTGATTTTGACAGTGATGGTTTCTGGTCCAATGATAACCAAAAACTTATAGTTTCTAATATATATGCTGAAACTAGACAGAGAAGTAAAAAAAGAACATGAAGTAATTCCAGACTGAAGAACAGATATTCCATTTACCAGTGAAACAATCTTTATCATTCAAAATTAGCTCTTAACTTTTGGTGACCATGGAAGTCCTAACCCTGCCTAATGAATATCTGTGCTCTTTAAAGGACAAACTAACTCAGAGCTTAAAATAAGGCTCCCATTTAAGGGGAAGATCTGTTGAAGAGATTTTATTTAATTGCAGAGAAAACCTTTAGCTGCTGGTTAAACTAATATCTGCTGATTATGTGTTAAGCTTTTACCAATAAATATTCACAGAAAACCAAGGACCATCAAATATTTATGAAATGCTAACAAGATGAATTAAAAGAAGAAAATGAACAAATAGATCTTGTGAGAAACTGGTAATACATAGAAGAGAACTTTCAAAGTACTCTAATTAATATCCTCTCAAAAGTGACAAGATATTAGCTCGAAGAATTCTCATAAAACAAGATGAGCTGCTATTAAAAAAATTTTTTAAAAGGCCAATGTAAAAACAAGTGTTTGGAAATGAGTTTTTTTCAATAGCAAAGAAGAATAAAGATTCAATTAGTAATCCGGAGAGATGGCAAAGGATGGGAGAAGCTAACAGAAGAGAGGGGAATGAAGAAAAATGAAAATATTTGAGAAAGTAGAATAAAAATGAGAAAACATTTAAAACCTAGGGGACAGCTCTAGAAAGGACTACATCTAAAAATGAGCGACAATTACATACAGACTGTCCAGAAAAAGAAGTATCAAAATAGAAACACATTCCCCTGACCCAAAGCAAGACTTGAATAAAAAACTCAGAGTTCATCAAGGGTTAAAAAATATTTTTTAAAAAATAACACACCAAAACACAAACAGATGAATTATAAAACACCAAGAGACTGCCACAAAGCTTCTACAACTAAAACAAAAATCAGGTTCCCTACAAAGTAAACCTGACTTTCTCGTCAAAACATTGTACTGTAAACTTAATATAACCAGTGCTTTCAACAATACATGAAGAGGAAAAAAAAAGTAAAAAGTGCAAAAATCTTTCTTAAGAGGGAGAAAATAATTTTTCTTTTGACTTTAAAAATTACCAACAAAATAACTGCGTATCTTCCATACAATTAAAGAGGAAACAGGGGGAAATGAAATTCACTAACGCAGTGAAAAAGCCAGGAAAGATAGATTGAATTCATGCAAATTTCTTAATACTGCTTGAAACATCAAATATTGTATAGACCTACCCTTTGATTCACAAATTCCTCTATTAGATATTTTTCCAGGAAAAAGGAAACTACGTGTCATGCCAAGAACGTATATGTTCCTAGCAGCTTTGTTTATAATAGGTAAAAACTGGACACAAGGCAAATGTTCACTTATCAGCAGGTATATGAATAAACACATTGGAGTATCACAATTGGAATACTAATAACATTCAGTAAAAAAAAAGCCAGGATGGGAAAATCATCCTGCCTGCTACTTATTTTGGGGATTTTCCCCCAATTTTATTGTTTATTAGCCCATGTTTGTAATACATAATGATTACATTCCTTGTGGGGAGCGGGTAGACCTATATAACGTGTTAACTGGATTTTCATTTCCTTCTCTACCCCTCTTCTTCCTCTACCTCTTGGTCCCCTTTCCATTTGCAAAAGATCTATTTCCCTGTTTCCTGATATTTTTTTATTTTGCTCTGTATTTATATTTTGTGCTTCTCTTATCAGAGAAACCATGCACTATTGAAGCTTGTGTCTGATTTATTTAACATTATAGTCTCAAAGTGCATCCATTTTCCTACAAGTGACTCAGTTGTCCTTTATGGTAGAGTAAGTACTCCATTATGTATGCGTCCCATATTTTATCCATTCATCTGTTGATGTACATATAGGGCACTTCCAAGATTAAGCTGTTATGTATTGCCTGTCACTTGTTTTTGTACAGCTCACATCTAAAAAGTAGCTTTTTAAGTGATTGGGAAAAAAGGAATTACAATTCATAAAAGAATTACATTAAAATAAAATCTCAGTGTCCATAAAGTTTTGTTAGAACACAGCCATGTTCATTTGCATATTTTCTATGGCTCCTTTTACTCTACAGTGGCAGAGTTGACTTATGGAGACAAATACCATAAGACCTGCAAAGTATTATAATATTTATTATCCAGCCCTTAGAGAAGGGCTGATGAAAAGCAGCATGGAAAAGTCTCAAAATAATTATACTTAATGGAAGATGCCAAAAAAGTATTTACCAATGGATTCTATAATATAAAACTCTTGGCAGTGCAGTCTAAATTCTATGGATAAGCCAGGATGGTGCCAAACCCATGTCCCAGCAGTTTGGAGGCTGACATAGGAGGACCATCATGAGTTCAAGGTCAGTTGGGGCTACACAGTGAGTTCAAGACCAACCTGAACTACATGAGACCCAGTCTTAATGAATAATTTTTCAAAGTAAGAGTCTGTGGATAAAAAGATCATTTGTTGCTTAGGAATGATACATGGGAAGAGACTGGAGGAAGTACAATGGGGCACAATCATGCCTATCCAGGTCATGATGTGTTAACTATCTTGCCTGTGGTGATAGTTTCTCAGGTACACATTTCAATTATGCACTTTAATATATGTCATTTATTGTATCTCAGTTATTCCTCAATAAAGTTACTTATTATAATAAAACTTCAAGTAAAACGATGAAAGGCAAGAAAGACAAAAGAATGTGACAATTTCAAAATTTGTGAGATGCTACTAAAGTAACACTTAGAGAAAATGTTTTATCCTTCAAAGTTTAACAAACTATATATTTACTTCAAAGAGATAGAAAAAACATTTAAAATCTACAAAAGAAGGGCAAAAATAAATGCGAGGTCAAAATTAATGAAATAGTGCATGAACAATAAAAATAATAAGGTTGACCAAAAGATCAATAAGATTTTCAAAACTGATAAATCTGATTACCTTCTGGTTTGATTTATCCCACTCGAAAAAGTAACAAATAACCAATATCAGGAATGAAAGTCATTCATATCCATAAATATTATAACTACTAAATAATAAAATGATGTTATAGTTAGCTTGATAGCAACAATTTGAATTGGATGAAGTGGCACATTTTTCCCATGGCAAAAATATAATCTACCAAAATTTGAATCAAATAGAAATACAAAATCTGGGTTGTTCTACAACCAATAAATAAAATGAACCAAAGGTTGAAAATCTTTTCCCAGAGAAACACTCCAGACTGCCAATCGCTTTACTAATGCTGTCTTTGAAAATTCAATAAAGATATAATTCTACTCATTTGTAAGTTTATCGAGAATATAAAACTATAAGAATATAAAACTAAGAATATAAAACTATAAAACACAAGTAATTTTATGACAGGATATATAATCTTAATAACCGGGTAGTCTAATAAGGGCAGTAGAACTTAACACGTGTTACCTGGATTCTCATTCCCTTCTCCTCTCCCCCTCCTCTTCCTCTACCTCTTGGTCCCCTTTCCCTTTGAAAAGATGTTTCCTCTTATTTTTTATTTTGCTCTTTATATTTCGCTTATATATTTTATGTATATAATAATACACATAGGTCACTTCTATAATACATAAACATAGATGCCAAAATTACATAAAAATAGACAAAATTCAAAATTACAAAGTATAATATGTGACAGACAAGGAATGTAAATTTGGTTTACCTTTGAAAAACTATCAATGTAATTTTTTGTTGTTTTTTTGCTTTGAGACAGGATCTGGCTATATAGTTCAGGCTGGCCTTGAACTCACTATGTAGCTCAAGTTGACTTCAAATGGGCAGTGATCCTTCTGCCTCAATGTTCCAAATACTGTATTATAAATGTGCACTAGCACACCTGGCTCTAATCAATGTAACTACATTAATAGAAGGAGGTAAATCATGGCAATGAATACAGAAAAAGGTTTATAATAAAAGTCAACATACTTTCCCCTAAACAAATAAAAACAACATATTAGCAAGAAATGAGAAGATACGGGAGAAAGAGCTAGACATGGTGCATGCCTATAATCCCAGCACTTGGGGAGGCTGAAGCAGGAGGATCGACACAAGTTCAAGGCCAGCAGACTACATAGTGAGTTCAAGGAAAACCTGCACTACATAGTGAGACCATGTCACAAAAAAGAAAGTATTTGGTAAAAGGTATCTTAAATAGGCCTGGAAATGTAGCTCAGTGTTGCAGCATATCTTTGAGTCCTTGGGTTAAATCCTCAGCACAGAAAAACAAAAAAAACTAACCCTCAGTAACATTTATACTTAATGAAGAACAATTCCATGTGTGGCCATAATCAAAGCTTTGTCTTTTAATTCAGGCACAAGAGTACCTATAATCTGTATGTAAATAGGAAAAAGTGGAAGGGGTGAAGGGAGGGCAGGGGTACGGAGAAAAAATGAGAACCAAGACCTGTCACATAAAGGTACAAGATCCCAATGATGAATGTAACTCTACTGTACACCTAAAAAGTACCAATAAACTCAATGAAAAAAATAAAATTAGAGACAATATTGGGAAAAAAAGAGCAGGGGTACAGAAAAAATGAGAACCAAGACCTGTCACATAAAGGTACAAGATCCCAATGATGAAAATAACTCTACTGTACACCTAAAAAGTACCAATAAACTCAATGAAAAAAATAAAATTAGAGACAATATTGGGAAAAAAAGTATCTGTAATCACCATTATTCAGTGCTGAACTGGAGGTCTAGCAAGTAGAGTAAAAGAAGAAAAGCTATAAAAATTGGAAAGAAAAGTATTATCCTTCTAAAATGATATGATGAAATATCTAGAAAATTTAAAATCTACAGATGAATTGTTAGAATTACACTTTAAGCAAGGTTGTACAATATTTCTATCAGCAACAAACCAAAAGTAAAATGTTTCAAAGGAAAATAACATTGAAAGTAATATTTAAACATTCCTTAGGAATAATCTTATAAAAGATATGAAAATTATCTACTGGAAAACCCCTTCAGTGAGTGCAGCTATAGGTACATATAAAAACGAAAACATTATTAGATACTTACATAACAAACCATATAGAGAAATTAATTCCGAGTTGACTACCAATCATAGTTGAAAGGAGACAAACTAAAGAATGCACAACCAGCCAAAGGAAAAAGAAAAAAACCTAGACTGATGGCTATAATATGCCCTATATCTTATATTAAAAGACTTTCCAAGTGCATAAGAAAAAAATGAGCATCTGAGATAGTAAAGGAAGTAAGAGGTTCTCTTGATATCAGCCTTACCATTTTTTCTAAAAATTCTTTAACAGTGTTTTAAAACTCTGGTGATTACCTTATGTTTTGCCATTCTTGATCAACATATCTTATTTGTGAGGCAAGCATCGTTTTGTGAACCTTAATTTCTTCGGTTCGCTCTTCCATAGCTTTAAGTAACTGCTGTTTTCTTTTTTCCAAGGAAAGAACTTCTTCGGCCTTACTGTGAAGCATTTCTCGAGTACGTTTAACTTCAAGTTTTAAAAGATTATCCTCTATCATCAAATCCTATGAACATAACAAAAATTTCAAATATTTAAGTAATTATGGTTATACCACATTAAAGTATTTGTATTGCTTTAAAGATCAAATTTGAAAATATACAATTTTTCTAGTTTGACCATTGACTAAAGGCTAAATCTAAATTAGTCATTATTCTATTTTTTCTTTTACAAGGGTGAAATATGGCTATTCCAAATCATGTTTTATAGTTTAATTTTAAATTCAAGCTTTACTAAAACAAAAAGAAAAATTTATTCTTAAAATTTAAACTTACAATATCCAGGAAACATAAAGTTATACAGATAAATTTTTATAAGCATAAAATGATATAGTAATGTATTGTTATTTTAAAACAATTCAATCATGAATACTGCCATAAGAGTAAGTATATTGATATATTTTTAGAAAAGAAAGTATAGAAACAAATACTCCAGACCATAAGATTTTACTATTTCACAAACATAGCTTTGCAGGTAGAGAAAAGATTAGATTCCTGTATCTAAAATGAACAAAAATATGAAACTGAAAGGGAAGCAATACTTCCAAATTCATTCCTGGAAGCAAGTATCACTTTGATTCCCAAACCAGGGAAAGATGCAACTAAAATAGAGAAGTACAGGCCACTCTCCTTAATGAATATAGATGCAGAAATCCTTAATAAGATACTAGCAAACAGAATACAGAGGATCATCAAGAAGATCATACATCCTGACCAAGTCGGATTTATTCCAGGGATGCAAGGATGGTTCAACATATGTAAGTCAATAAATGTAAAACACTATATTAACAAAGTCAAGGACAAAAACCATATGATCCTCTTGATAGATGCAGAAAAAGCATTTGACAAAATTTAACAGCCATTCATGATAAAAACTGCAAAAAATTGGAATAGATAGTCTATATCTCAACTTAATAAAAGCTATCTATGAAAAACCAATAGCCAACATCATATTAAAATGGCCAAAAACTTAAAATTTTCATGTTAAAATCAGGAAAAAGACAAGGATGCCCACTATCACCACTCCTCGTCGATATAGTTCTGTAAACATTAGCCACAGCAATTAGACAAGAGAAAGAAAGCAATAAAGATAGGAAAGGAAGAAGTTAAACTGTCATTATTTGCTGACAATATGATACTCTACATTGAAGACCCAAAAAACTCCACCAAGAGACTTCTAGAATTGACAGTTTTAGCAGAGTACCTGAATACAAGGTCAACACCCAAAAATCAATAGCCTTCTTGTACACAAATAACAGAGTCACTGAGAGAGAAATTAGGGAAACAATTCTTTTCACAATAGCATAAAAAAAAAGTATCTAGGAATCAATCTAACAAAAGAAGCAAAAGACCTCTACACTGAAAACTACAGCACTCTGAAAAGAGATCAAACAGGATATAAGAAAATGGAAAGATATCCCCTGCTCCTGGGTAGGAAGAATGAACATAGTGAAAATGGCCATACTGCCAAAACTGCTATACAGATTCAATGCAATGCCATTTGAAATTCCAACACTATATTTCACAGAACTAGAAAAAAGTATCCAAAAATTCATTTGGAACCATAAGAGACCTAGAATGGCAAAAGCCATCCTAGGCAACAGAGACATAGCGGCAGGTATAACAATTCCCAATTTGAAACTATACCACAAAGCCACTGTGATTAAAAACAGCATGGTACTGGCAAAGAAACAGACCTGAGGATCAATGGAACAGATTGGAAGACACAAAAACAAATCCAGATGTACTCAGCTACCTCATCTTTGACAAAGGAGCTGACCATCCTCAGTGGAGGAAAGATAGCCTCTTAAAGAAATGGTGTTGGAAAAACTGGATCTCAACCTGCCAAAGATTAAAACTAGACCCTTATCTTTCGCCATGCACTAAATTAAAATCCAAGTGGATTGAAGATTTAAGTATTAAAACAGAAACACTAAACTTGCTGGAAGATAAGTTAGGCAGAACTCTTGAAAACACTGGCATAGGAAAAGATTTTATGAACAAATCCTCAGTAACACAGGAACTAGCAGAAAGAATCAACAACTGGGATCTCATCTTATTAAAAAGCTTCTGCACTGCAAAATAAACCATCAACAGAACTAAGAGACAACCTACAATGTGGGAAAATATTTTTACCAGGTGCTCCTTGACAAAGGACTATTATCTAGAATATATAAAGAAATCAAAACAATCAGCCCCCCACCAAATATAAAGACCCGATTCAAAAATGGGCATCTGAAATGAACACATTTCTAAGACAAAGAAGTAAAAGCAAGTAAATATGTGAAAAAATGTTTAACATCACTGGTCATTGGAGAGATCCAGATGAAAACAACACTGAGATTCCACTTCACCCCACAAAGAATGGCTGCTATCAAGAAATCAAACAATAACAAATGTTGGCGGGTTTGTGGGCAGAAAGGAACCCTTCTCCATTGTTGGTGAGAGTACAGACTGGTGCATCCACTATGGAAATCAATATGGAGATACCTCAAACAGCTGGCACTAGAGGTTCCATTTGACCCAGCCATCCCTCTGCTGGGTATCTTTCCAAAGGAATTCAAAGAATCATATCACAGAGATATATGCATACCTATGTTTATAGCGACACAGTTTGCAATAGCTAAAACTTGGAAACATTTGCCCATAAGTTGGAAACTGGATAAAGAAGATGTGGTTTTTCTATAAAATGGAATACTACTCAGCCATAAAGAATGAGAAATTAGATTCATTCATAGGAAAATGGATACATATTGAGGATATACTCCTAAGGAAATAAATAAGTCACACAGGTGTAAATATTGAATAGTTTCTCTGGTGTTAATAAACTACAATAGTACATAAGATCCTCATGAGATAATTGACCATGTGAAATAGGAAGAAAAGGGCTAAAGGTGTAGGGAAAGTGGGAGGGTAGGGGAAAGGTAATAAGGGAAAAGAAAAAAATAGGTAGGAGAAAATGAAAAAATGGAAATAAAGTGTTTGTAAATGGAGAGGGGAGGAGGGGGTGAAGGGAGGGCAGGGATGGGGGAAAAAACGAGAACCAAGACCTGTCAGGTAAAGGTACAAGATCGCAATAATGAATGTAACTGTACTCTATACCTAGAATGTACCGATAAACTCGAGGAAAAAATAAATAATTAAAATGAACAAAAATAGATTCCAGGTGAATAAAAATATAAGATGAGGTTGCATCAATGCAGCTACTAGAAACAGCAAACTGATTTTTAGAAGCTTCTAAGTATAAAAGTTAAGTGACAAAAAAATCCTAAAGTTTTGATGTTTAAGAAAAGATTTTAACAAAATTTTAACAAAAACACTGAATAAAAATTTAGTCAACTAGGAAAAATACTGATTACATTATAAGAGTAGTTAATGTTTAGGAACATGTATATTAAAGTTTTTAAAATAAAACATATAAAGCCAAATTTTTTAAAGAAAGAAATAACAGACTTTGACACATAAAAATGACTTTTTAAAATATGAAAATATTGCACAAAACAACTGAAAATACAAATCCCCCAATGGAAAAAAATGGGTCAAGAATATAAACTAGATATCCAAAAAGAAAAATAATGAAACATAATATAATGCAAAATGTTATAAATTTTTTATTTAAACATAAATGTTTTAAATTTTGTCTAAAAATGTTTCAAATGTCACCAACTAAAACAATGCAGTACTATCATTTGTGTACTAAATTGGCAACACTTTTGTAAATTGAAATATCCAGAATCAGTGGTAGTAAATAAAACAGAATGCTTATATATTGCTGCTGAGATATATTAAACCTCTAGAGGGCAATTTGGCTTAAAAATAGTTTTAAACACTTTATAAAAAAATATTTTTAGACACTAAAAATATTCATTGTTTGAGCTCTAATTATACAGCTAGAAATTTATTGAACAACTCTTCAATGAAATATGTGCCACATACATTGATTACAAACACATATTCAAAAGATAGAAAATGCTTAAATTGTAATAACTTTGTGCAGTATACTTGTAGAAAGTCTTAGAGTTAGTTTTTAAAGAGTAGTTAAAGCTTTAGGAACATGTATATTAAAGTTTTTAAAATAAGGCATATAAAGCCAAATTTTTAAAAGAAAGAAATAACAGACTTTGACACATTATCTTGGGTACAGTGATAAAAATGACTTCTCTTCTTCCTCATTATTTACCGCCTTTAAAATGTTCTACAAGGATTATGAAGACATATGGCTTTTAAAAACATATGCACATAATTTTATAGCACCTGGTTAAAAGCTTTGGCTTTATTAAGTTCTTTCACTGAGCTGTCGATAAAAAGGTTTAATTCATTTATTTTAGTCAAAAGAGACTGTTTTTCATCACAACTTTTACTGTTTGACTTCTTGATAAAGTGAAGATCATTCTGTAAAAAGGAAAAATTATATAAATTATTTTAAATAACAATTTAAGTACATACTATAATAAACATGTCTTGTTTTAATATACTCTTCAATATTTATTGATATTTAATTATATACTCTTCAATATTTATAGTAAACAGATATTTTAGTCTCCCATCATGCTAAAGCTCTAATATAATATACATGGATATTCACAGAGAAACTTTTTCACTTTATCATCTATTGATGTTTTAGGTTTAGTCTGAGTTCAGTAATTCTAGGGACTACATATAGTTTCACTCCAACCTAAATTCTTAAGTGCTCACCATTATGATATAGGACCATACATTTTATTTCATTATAGCGTCACCATTCCCTTTCTGGAATGTTCGATTCTACTCAAGTCCTAGACGGCAAAATTAGTACAGAGAGCAGAGAACCCAGGTTGACAGTATAAACTCTGGATGCAAGGGGCCTTAATTATATATTAGCCACGTGATACTTATGGGCAATCTACCCTTCCTCAGTTTCCTCATCTCTAAAGTGGAGATGAGCACAGTTCTCACCTCCCTGATTTGTCTTGAGAACTAAAGAAATTATTGTCAAAAAGTATACACAACAATGCTTGACACACCAGAGTGCCATGTAAATGCCAGCTGCTACTGTATAATTCTATTTCTATACAGAAAATACTTGATAAAATCAAATTCCGTCAGATGCACACATAAGTCAGACATACCAGCACCAGTTTCTAGTTTTACATGAAATCGCTTCCCTTTTCCCACTCAGAACCCAGAATAATGTCTACTCTTACTCCCCTCTTGCTTCCTAAATGAAGACTTTCTAGTTCCAAGATACCATGCGCGCTCGGGCCCTCCCCACCCCACACATTGCTCGGCCTTTCTCGTTGCTTGTATTTTTCTGAAGCATCAGGATTTCAGCCAGAGAGTAAGAAGAGAAGTAAATCTGGCATCAAGATGTGGCTTCATTAAACTGCAGCCTTCCAAGCTTCAGGAAAATTCTACTTACAACCACTAGAGGGCACTCATCACTAGTCTTTCCCGCCAAAACTAACATGTAACGTCCTCCCAGGTTTTCACCTGTCCTGGTCCCTGTTCTCACTCCCTAAAGTGTACTCCCAGGTAAACTTCAACAAAATTTTACGTTACAACAAACATAGTAAAATTCCTAAAGATGATGAGTATTATCACCTTTCCTAGTACAGTCATTGTAAATATTCTAAGCAATTTGTGGAATAATAATAAATTTCTCCAGATGAGACTTCTGACTTATGGACAATTAAGATATTTAGTAGGATAGAAGCTGTTCTAGACAGTGTACTCTTTAAGAGTATTTTGAAGTCACGTGGATCTGAGATCAAACCCGACCTTTCCTCTCCATGTATTAGCTGTGTAACTGGACAAATTGCTTAATCTGTAAAATGGGTAATAAATAGTATCTTAAATGAAATAAAACAGCAGAGACACTTCATGCAGTAGCTATCATAGAGTAAATGCTTAGTCAGTAGTAATGCTACATCCAGAAGTCATTACAGGATACCCTGAGAAAAGTAGTCTTTGGACCATGTCGACTTAAAAGAGAATGGGTAATAACTCAATACTGAAAACAAAAATAAAAAAGTCTTTTGGCTAAGTTACGTGAAGTTTCTTGATCTGTGTTTCCAAAAGGTCAAATGTAGACTTTTTCTCTTCCAGTGATTTCTTAAGTTCAACAATTTTTGCTTTCAGAGCCTGTTTTTCTTCTGAATTAATTTCTCCCTTTAACCGTGACATTCTTCGTTCCACTTGTTGAACGTAAAAGTCCTGTGTGGTAGTTTTTTAAAAGGCGTCAGGAAGGAGATACAAACAATTTAAAAGCATATCTGTAAATGTAAAAGTAGTGAATATTTTCTTGAATTTTTACCCGGGTGTCATTATTTTTGAAAGTCATTTTTGTCCTTCAGTAATTCAAGATAAAATTCTTACTCTAAGGGAGCAACAACAAATTATTCTTCAACAATCAAGATGCATGACGAGGCAGAAATAATCTGAAAATATAACCAGTCAGTGGATGTTTATCACACTCTATTAGTACCTTAGTAAATCTGCTACATTTACATGGACATGGATTTTTGAGGGGACATTTTCTAAATGCAAAGAAGATAGTCACAAATACCCACAAAAGGTTTGTAGTGAATTATTTTCAAAATTATAGTTTAGCATTTGCATTTTTTTTATTGAGGTTATTGGTACATTTAGGGATACAGTACAGTTACATTCATTGTTGGGATCATGTACCTTTACATGGCAAGTCTTGATTCTCATTTTTTTCCCCTTACCTCCGCCCTCCCTTCACCCCCTCCTCCCCTCCCCATCTACAAACACTTTATTTTCACCTTTTCATTCTCTCACATTTTTTTCTTTTCCCTTTTTGTTCTTCCCCTACGTATCACACCTTCCCTACACCTTTAGCTCCTTTCCTCCCATTTCTAAATGTCAGTAATCTTATTAGAATCTTATGCATTGTTGCAGAATATTCACACCAGGGAAACTATTTGGTATTTACACATGTGGGACTTATTTATTTCACTTAGGAGTATATCTTCAATATGTATCCATTTTCCTATGAATGAATCTATTCTCTCGCTCTTTATGGCTGAGTAATATTCCATTTTATAGAAAAACCACAGCTTCTTTATCCAGTTTCCAACGGATGGGCAAATAGGTTGTTTCCAAGATTTAGCTATTACAAACTGTGCCGCTATAAACATGGGTGCACATACTTCTCTGTGATGCATTTTTAAGAAACTGACAATATCAGATGAGGAAATTAAAATTATGTATACATATATATAATACATACATACATACAAAATTTTTAAAAACTAAAAAAAAATAGTTGCACTCTATTGGCCTTGGGAGTAGGTAGGGATGGGGTGGGTACCTATGTTTATACAAGTAAGAATCAACATCAGTTTTTCTAGGTTACGGATATCCCATAACCTCTTTTGTTTCACTCTGGGTCCACATGTCCCAGGTTTATTTAAAACATGAATGACCTTTAATAGACTTGTCTTTCCTCTTCCTGTTTACTTATGATGGAGGAAACCAATAGCTTTTAAGTCTCCCCTGCCCTTCTGCAGACCTAAAGCCATATCCCACGTAGCATCTGTCTGTATTTCCAAAGACTGCTTAGAAATCTTTGTTTTCTTAGGATGCTGGATATCTTGACCATCACAACTATAAGAAATCCATATGGAGATATCTGCACAAGTAACACCTACCTGACTGTACATAATTTCTTGCTGTTTTAAGGTTTCAAAATCCAGTTTATGTAACTGATTGTTGAAATGTTTCAGAGTAGAATGGGTTCCTTCAATTTCTGATACAAGAGCTTTTTCTTTCATCGTCTCAGTCTGTAACTGCTGAACTTTCTTGAACAGCACATCTTTAACTATGTTCAATTGAACTTCTATTTCCTGATGAAAATAATAATTATAGTTGTTAACGAAATTAGAATATTTTGAAATGTTTTATTTATATGAATATTGTAATTGTAGAGCTCATAAACAAAAGAGACCTTCTCACCAACATTTTAGCCCTTGATAATATAAACCCCTTTCTACAAATTCTCAGCATTTCTTACAGCCTATTCTAGTAGACTAGGTTAATAGTTTTCATTCCTGTATCACGCGCCTTGACCTGTCATCTTAATTCCATTCCACATTTCCCTAGCCTCGGAACTAGGTAACTCCATCGGTTCCTCAGGAGAGAGGACTGGTGGGCGGGGAGAGGACCACTGGAGACAAATAACTCGTAACTTCACAAAGTTTCCTGGCAGATTGAAGGTATAACAGGGAAGAAATTACATCACCCAACCTCCATCTTCTGGGGGGTACTATCAAGCGATGATCAGGTTTTAAACCATCAGTTCTCCAATGGATGAAAAGGTAGGAAAAGATATGAATTGAATGGTATAAACAATACCACTATGGATGCTAACCTGATTCTGCTAAATGAAGAATTGAGAAGAGATACACAAAAAAGAGCATTATGTGGTGCTTCCAACATAGAGACACAAGAGATGGTAAATAACATTAAGAGCATAGATAGTAGTCAAATACACTAAATAACTTAGAACTGATGAGTGTCGAATTTTTATTACTTTTGGATAAAATTTATTAAATTGTAAGCCTATATCATGTGATTTTTAAATGTAGCTATGGTTAGCAGCCAACTACACCACTCCTGAAAATTTAATTCTTAGCTTTTGTGAACTGTAGGGGTGGGCCCAGTGCCCTATCAGCATACTCATCGCTCACATTTTATGTCCTGTTGGTCTCAGTACCATGTGCAGCCCTGGAAAAGAGGGACAATCCTCAATTCCCAGTGCTCCCCAAGAGGTGAGTATATCTTGATCTAGAGGCTTCATGACCAAAATATTCTAGATTTCTAATTGCTCCAATCAACTGACAGTTATCTTTAAATGTCAAAATAACTTGTTTTTATATCCAAATAAATATATTGCTCCTTTCCATCAAATAAAGCTCAACATGAAACAAAAGAAGTGTGCCATTGACCACTCAAATCTCACAAAGCAAGAAATATCTGGGATTCAGTGCATGATCTTTCATATAATAACTGGCATTGCGTTTAAGACCTTCTAAAAGAGGGCCTGGCAGTTTTCCATCAGTGGGTGGTCATAAGTAAGAATCTATCCAAAAACGATGGGGCATCATGTTTTTCCAAATGAACAAAAACAACAGCAACAATGAGAAGATGACATGACCCTGCTACACACAGGACCAGCAGTATACCAGCTCTCAGTACTTTTTTTCTCACTTAGCTAATTTCTTCAAAAATGTAAGAGTTCTTTTTATTCTCTTTGATCAAAAAGTCTAATTCATATGAATTTCACAGTCTTTCCAGAAAGTTCTAGTACAAGTTTCTAGTAAGTCCTAATATTGTCCCAGTTCATGTGACATAGACAATCATGCTCTTAGGGGAAGAAAATACATTTTTTAAAATGTTCAATTTGTATTCAGAAATCACATATGTCAAGAATTACTCAGGGATTTTACAGCATACTGAGGGAATAATTCTGTCTAAATAAAAATAGAGCCATCATTTATATAAGCCTCATAAAATGTTCAGCTACTTAGCTCACATCTTAAATTATTCTTTCTTCTTCCTCCTCTGGCTCCTAAAATAGAGTAAAAGCAAGAAGTAGTGCCTGCCATAATATGTCACACTTAAAGGTCACTGTGAAATTATCAAAGAGAAAATGGTGAACCAGACTTTTCTACTTTATCAAAAATTTGCTTTCATGCTACCACTACACCAGAGATTGGAGTAGAACAGGCTGCCAGGATAGTTAATAAAGTACACCCTTAAAACACACTTCAGAGTCCATTTGCCAAGACATGATGCCAGATTGTAAGGGGTTAAAGACACAACAGATGATGAAACACAGATAATGAGGGTTGGTAGTATTGCGGATTGAACCCAGGGCCTTCACATTGAGCTACACACCCACAGCCTCTTTTTTTGTCTTAGTTTTGAGACACGATCTCACTAAATCACCGAGATCACCAGGCCGGGCTAGAACTTGTGATTCTCCTACCTCAGCCTTCCACAACAAGAGAATTTAATCATAAACTAAACTAAAATAAAATGATAATCAGGTGGAAAGCAGTTATAAAACAAGGACAGTTTTCAAGATATATATGCAATGCCCCAATAGAAATATGAATAGCAGGGACATAGACACAGTAGGTATTGGAAAGAAATAGAATCTAGGGCACAGTGAAAAGGCTCCCTTGAAGACATTAAAGCTAAATGCTAAAAATACAAAGGAACCTCTTAAAATTTTTTCTCGTCCTCTGATTAGGAAGAATCTAATTAATTAGGCTTTCAAGAGTCTAATTCACTCCTGGTAAGTTTGCTGTAAGTTTTTAAAATTAAATGTAAACTTTACCTTTAGACCTTTTTCCTCTTCTCTTAGCATATCTTCCAAATTGGTGGCCTTCTCTTCCGCAGACATGGTTTTCTCACTTATCTGATTTAATTTTTTTCTAATGACCTGATTATGATTTTTAATTTTTTGTAACCTAGATACAGAAAAGATAGAGGAAAAATAGACATCATGCCTAGAAAGTATTTAATGTAAACAAGAGTTCATCCTGATGTCTTTATATAATTAGAAGTTTTCTTTTGCTATAAACCTTTTTTATTACCACCATACATCCAAAAAAACTATAAAAGTATTTATCTTGAGTTTCTGTGATTAAAAAAAAGCCAGGAAATTTTTAACCTTAATAATGCAATAGCTGTAATATTGCAATTATTTAACAAAATATAATCTTAAGTATTATAATGACTTTTCTAGAGGTAATAAAATCATTTAAGTAGATTTTTTTTCTTACCTTTGTCTTTCTTCATAACTGTCCTTCTTTATTTTGGAAATATTTTTCCTCAAAGCTTCTAAATCACTGGAAGTTCTATTCACAGTGGCTTTTAAAGAATCCAGCTATTTATTAGTTAACAAACAAAAATTACAAAGTTACTGTATATATTATAGTTTCATTTCTGAGAATTTCTGTCTGCCCACTTTGTTTTAACATATATGACACTCAGAAACAGTAACTCTTTGTGTATTAATATATATTTACAGATCTTGTTATTTATTCTCATATCAAGCTTTAAACGGCCTTGTTTTGTAATATGAAAAAACTATAAATAGCTACCTATATAAAAAGTAAATGCAGAAATGTCCAATATTCTGAGACTTGCTCAGGAAGAAGACATCACAAGATTCAAGATAAACTGATGTGCATATATGAATTGTTTATGATAATCATAAGAAGTTTAGCTGGATTTGGAAAAATCTCAAGAGATTCTAACTCATAATCCTTCTAACTATACACATCCTCCTAATGACACATATTTTATAGTTAATCAAAATTATTAAAACAAATCCAAGGCATGAATTTTCTCATTCATAACATTGGAAAAACTTGCACTCCAACCAAAGATATTAGAACTACTAAATCTAATAAAATTGTAAGACACAAAATCAACGTACAAAAAACAGTTCATTTCTATACACTAACAATGAATTTTCTGAAAAAAATTAAAAATCTATTTGCAATAGCATGAAAAGAATAAAAAACTTACAAATTAAATCAAGTAAGTAAAAGATCTATACATGGAAAACTATAAAATGTTGATGAAAGAAATTATATAATATACAAATAAAGGGAAAGATATTCTATTTCATGGATTGGAAGAAATTATACTGCCAAAATGTCCATACCATCTAAATTTCTCTATAGACTCAACATAATCCCTACCAAAATTCCAATGTCATGCTTCACAGAGGCAGAAAAAAACAATGCTAAAATTTATTTGAAACCTAAAAAGATTTCAAATAGCTAAAGAAATCTTGAGCAGGAAAAACGAAGCTGGAGTAATCATACTTCCTGACTTCAAACTATATTAGAAAGTAATACAGCAACCAAAATAATATTCAACTAGCATAATAAAAGTCACATTGACTAGAGATAGAACAGAAAACAGAAATTAGAAATAAATGCACACATATACAGTTACAATTGTCAACAAAGATACCAAGAAATCACAATGAAAAGGGTAGACTCTCCCATAAATGGCTTTGGGGAATGATGAACACACACATGCAGAATAATAATATAGGGCCTTTCTCTTTCTCCATATATAAAAATAATTCAAAATGGACCAAAGGTCTTAAATGTAAGATTTGATACTATAAAACTCCTGGAAGAAAACATATGGGAAAAGGTCCTTGACACTGGTGTCCACAATAATTTTTTGGATATGCCATAAAAACATAAACAAGCAGGACTGTCCAACTAAAGTTTATGCTCAGCAAAAGGAAAAGTCACAATGAAAAGACAACATGCAGAATGGGAGAAAATATTTGCAAATTATCTGCCCGTTAAGTGATTAATCTCCAAGATACACAAGGAACTCATACAACTCAATATTAATAACAGCAGTAACAATGATGACACAATTTAAAAATGGGCCTGAACATTTTTTTAAAAGATATTAAATGGCCAATAGGTATATGAAAAGATGTTCAACATCACTAACCATCAGGAAAATGCAAGTCAAACTGTTGTGCGATATTACACCGTCACTGCTAAGATGGCTGTTATCAAAAAGTCAAAAAAATAAGTGCCAGCAATGACGGGAATGCTTTCACACTTTTGGTTGAAATGTAACATGTTACAGCTATTATGAAAAACATAAGTTCCTTGAAAAACTAAAACTGGAACCAACATATAATCCAGGATTCCTACTTCTGAGTATATATGAAAAGGAAATAAAATCAGTATGTTAAAGAGATATCTAGACTCCCATGTTCTTTGCACACTATTCATAATAGCCAAGATATGGAAACAACCTAAGTGTTCATAAACAGATGAATAGATAAAAAAGTGATGTTATGGGCCGGGGATTTAGCTCACCGGTTCGGTGGCCTGCCTTGCAAGCACAAAGACCCGAGGTTCAATCCCCGGTACCAAAAAAAAAAAAAAAAAAGTGATGTTATTTTATACACACACACACACACATGAATATTATTTAGCCTTACGTAAACAAGGAATTATCCCATTTGCAATAGTACAGACAAAACCCGAGGCATTATGCTAAATGAAATAGGCCAGGCAGAGAAGGACAAACAGAGTATAATCTCATTTAAAAGTGGAACGTAAAAAATAAGTTGGATACACAATACCAGGTTAAAGAATGATGATTACCAGGAGTTAGATATTGGTCAAAGGATACAAATCTTCAGTTACAAGATGAATAAGTTCTTAAAATCTGAAGTATAGCATGGTTAACAATCTACTATATACTTGCAATTTGCTAAGACAATAGATCTTACATATTCTCACCACAAAAATGCATTACATGTGCGATGAATATAAGAATTGACATGATCATAGTAATATTTCACATATCTGTCAAAACATAGTTTGCACCATAAATATATACAATTTTTACTTGTCCATTATCCCTCAAAGCTACAATAAAAAACAAAAGAAACTTTACAATCTATTGAAGAAAGTTAAGAATAACTATCTCAAAGTACACTGTGCAAAAATATTTACAAGATAGGTCATAGGAAACAGGGAGAGAGATCTTTTATAAATAAGAAAGGGCCTAAAACATGGGGATCAAGGAGAGGGGACATAAAAAAATCAGTATGTGTGATATACATGTACCAACTCCACACAGTGAATATTTCACTATATACTGCAAACATAACTAGTGAAATAATTTTTTGATTTACAAAATTAATAATCCCCTTCCACACAAATTTATACACGCATGTTCTTAGCCATATTAGTCACAATAGCTTTAGAAAGTCTAAACAGTTCAAGTATATATCAACCAATGAAAGAACAGTGAGGTATATCCATTCAATGGAATATTATTCTGCTAGCTACTCTTCTGATACAGGATAAATGTCTAAAATATATAAAGAACTCAAGAAGGGGAGGGGAGGAGGGGGTGAAGGGAGGGCAGAGATTAGGGGAAAAAATGAGAACCAAGACCTGTCATGTAAAGGTACCAGATCCCAATAATGAATGTAACTGTACTGTATACCTAAAATGTACCAATAAACTCAATGAGGGGAAAAAAAGCTGAAAAATATTAACTCAAAAAAAAAAAAAACACCAAGATAAGCCAATCAATAATTGGGCAAATGCATTGAACAGACACATCTCAAAAGAAGTACAAAGGGCTAAAACAATACTGAAATTCCATCTCACCTCAGGCAGAATGGCTGTCATCACAAAAACAAAAAGCAACAGGTACTGGAGAGGAATGAGGAACCAGAACGATTCTACACTGTTGGTGGGAGTGGAAACTAGTACAACCATCAGGGGAGTAGTATGAAAAATCCCCAAGAAACTAAAAATAAAAACACCATTTGAACCAGCTATACCACTCCTTAGTGTGTGGCCAAAAGAATTAAACACATCATGCCATGGTGACACAGGCATATTCATGTTTAATACTGCACATTTCACAATAGCTAAGCTATAGAAGCAGCCTAGATAGCAGTAAACAGATGAATGGATAAAATATGGTATCTATGTACAAGAGAACATTATTCATCCATTAAAAAATAATGACATTGTGTCATTTGCAGGAAAACAGATGGAACTGGAAACCATTGTGCCAAGCAAAATAAGACTCAAAAAGTTAAATATCATGTTTCATCTTACATGAGCCATGTAAAAGAGAAGGATAGCATCACAGAGACAGAGGGAGACAATGAGGGAGATACCATCTAGACTTCTACAGATAAAAAGGAGATCAAGGGGGGGAGAGGGAATAATAGGGATGAAAATAATCAAAATACATTATGTGCATTTACCAGTACACCACTTTATTATTCTGTAATACTAATATGTACTAATAAAATATTATGCTAGATCCCTGGCATAAATGATGAAATTTTAAAAAGAGAACCTGGGCCCGGGAATTTAGTTCAGTGGCACTGTGCCTTTCTCGCAAGTGCAAGGTCCTGAGTTCCATCCGATCCCCGGTACCAAAAACAAACAAACAAACAAATGGAAGGTAATTTGTTAATGAAACGAAAGGCTTTATTCTATTTTCATAGTAATTTGTCATGAAACGTACAAACTAGTGTTTTTAGTTGACCTACCTCATCCTTCAGCTGACTTCTACCGGCTTCATGATTTTGATATGCCGTCCTATATTTTAAAACTTCACGGTCAGCAGCAGAAATTCTTTTCTCATACTCTGAATTATTCCCAATCTCATTTTCCAAAAACTTGACCTTTTCTTTAACCAAACTTTCTTTTTTTCTTATTTCCTGTTTTATCCTTGTTAATGCCTGGAACCAAAACAAATTTACATATTTGTTTAATATAAACAAACTAAAATGAAAAGGAATTCAATTTTTACTTTTTCATTATTCAGTGCTTATTTAACATTAAGAGAACACTTTTTAAAGAGATTTCATATGAGTAAAAATAAAATGTTAATATGCTACATACTAATATTTTAAAATTCATACTGTTAAAGGTCTCTATACTTTCTTGTAGCTATCTGGAACTTTGATAAAGATATGAGAAAAATCAGTGGACCTATATATATAAAGTGTAACATCTAAAAAAATTAACAGCACTAAACATTTTTTTTCATATAGAAACTTGAGCTTCAATGAAAGTTTCCAAATATTTTATAAATCGATATTTTTCATCTTTCAAAAGTAACATTTTAGCCATTGGTTTCATTAAACATATCTTCATTTCAGCTTTTTGCTTCTCTTAAGGACCAATAAGTGGAATATGCAATGGAATATTGGGAAAGTACCATGGGAACAAAGAGATGATGAATTTCACCCAAGAGTGGTCCAGAAGAGACTACCTAGGAGGCATCCTTTGAGTCAGGCCTACAAAAATAAGTAGAAACGCATCAGTACTTCAGCGTGGCTAAAGTGCAGGTGCGAGAAGGGCATGGAGTACTAAGAAAGAGTAGAATACAGATGAAAGGCATGAGACTGGAAAGGTAGAATTTAAGGTAAATTTGTGAAGAAATTCAAATGCCGTGGTCAACTTTTAAGCCATGTGAAATGAGAAGACTAATGCTGGGGAACAAAAAGACCAAATAAGACTTTTATAAGTAATATGGTGGCAACAGACTTGATAAGTTATTGGGAAAATTACCCTAAAATGTATTTCTTCTAAGTTTTCCCAAAAGGGATCTTACCAAACAACTAATCCTAGAAGATGGGGGAGGAAGATGAGTTCTTAAATCAATTAGTTTCTGAAATGCTCTGTGTAATTCTGTACATATCTGCCGACACAATGGATGCATATCTGAGATGTAATATATTTGTTAGAGACATTTTTAAATTTTAATGTAGTATTCCTATATGTTCTCTATAACAAGCCTATATGACAATTGTAGCAATACATTTATTTATTGTACTCATTCAACCAAAAAGCATGTCAGAACTTTTTAGCTTTAAATATTTCAAAAGACCATTCTAAAGTTTCTTGCATTATACTGATTTCTCTACCACTAGAGCCAATGCTTTAAAACCTACTATCACATCTATATTTCTTAGAAGTATTATTCATGCCTAAGTTATCATATAGGTAATGCTTACAAGTAATATCCCAACATTTCTACACTGGAATAAGACCATAGCAGAAAAAATATTTTCCCTCCCTAAATATTGTTTCATTTAAGAAGCCGATTTCAGGATCATATGGCCAGACTTTCCAAGAAGCCACTAAGAAGACAGGCATTATTCTGGACCAAGAGGGACAAAAGAGTTCCATTTCACTTGTACAGAATCAAAATATAACATCTCAAAATATGTCACTTCCACATATTGACCATTTTGAGGTAGGAGGTCCCAAGAAAGGCACTCAGACCTTGTGCGGGGTTGGGGGGGGGGTCACAAAAGAAAACAAGAGATGTGACAGGTATCCTCCCAGTGTCAAGAGGAATAAAAACCTTATTACCAGAGACAAGTAGAGATCCTGACCAGCAGAAATCTGTACAAATAAACCTTCTTAAACTACCTCCTATCTTCCTACTTTTCCACAATTGTCACTCTTTGTTCAAACTTACATATAAGCGCTAATAGTCACTTATTTCTTGAACTTTTCAGTTTCCTTGAGAGTTCCTTGGACATGTAAATAAAATTTGCATGCTTTCTTCTGTTAATCTATTTTTTGTCAGACCTAGCAAGAAACCCTAAGATGGTACAGCAATTTTATCTTTGCTATACAGACTAAATGTTCTAGAGGTATGGACCAGCTACCCTTCACTCACAAGAACTGATTTGCACATCTCTTCTCAACTCTGCATTCAATGGACTCACATTGGTACAGAAGTAGTTGCATCATAAAAATGCTTAAATAGGGAGTAGGTATTGTTTTATTTTGTTTTGTTCTCAGGAAGCAGTTGTTAAACACTTAGAAGTCACCCATCACCCAAAGAAACCAATTCTGAGCTCCCCTCCTTGTCTCTGATGACACAATCAGGTATCAACCTGTAAATAAAAAGCACTATGAATGGGTCCAGACAGCTATTACCTGTGTGTTCTGTCAAATCAACAGGCCAAATCAATCATTTATGAGACTGTATGAAAACGCTAATCATGTATCTATAATCTTGGGTCTGATATATTTGATTAACACAGAGAAAATGCTGGTACTTTTAATTTACATATAAGAAGCCAGACTTGATATTGAAAGCAATTAAAAAACAGATATCACTATCAGCATTAAGAATTTAAGGGGACACGTGTAAATACCAAATAGTTTCTTTGGTGTGAAAAACTATAATTGTACATAAGATCTTAATGGTATAATTGACAATGTGAAATAGGAAGAAATGGGCTAAAGGTGTAGAAGAAGTGGGAAAGGTAGGGGAAAGGAAATAAGGGAAAAGAAAAATATATAAGAAAATGAAAAAATGGAAATAAAGTGTTTGTAAATAGGGAGGGGAGGAGGGGGTGAAGGGAGGGCAGGGGTGAGGGGAAAAAATGAGAACCAAGACCTGTCATGTAAAGGTACAAGATCTCAATGATGAATGGAACTGTACTGTATACCTAAAATGTACCAACAAACTCGATGAGGGGAAAAAAAGAATTAAGGGGACCTCTTAGTAAAATTGGTTATTCCTCATTTCTCCTAGGGAAGCACTGACTGTCTCATCAGTAAAATAATGATTTCTTATGGAAACTGAAAATAAAGTAATCACAAGTAAGCCATATCTAACTGCTAGAATGCTAATATCCCTGTGTCCTGAGCTGGTTGCCTTTTCATGGAATAAATTCAGAAGAATTTAATATATCTCCTCACCCACTTTCTTTCCTCTTCAAACTCTTCATCCCAACCCCTCCTAATCTTTCCACTTTTACTCACAATATTTCATTACTTAATGATTTCCCAAAAATGTTCGGCTGAATTACCTCTAAAAGTAAAAAGTGATAACAGTAGGTCCATATCACCAGTGTACTATGTTCCTCCTCTTCTGACTTTTTACATCACTGGTGGCCCACCTTCAATGGTAAAACTTTTTTGGCCACCTAGGTTTCTTGACTGAATCTCCACCCTTATTTGTTGGTTATTTACCAAGGCTCTTTTACACCTACAATTTACCACCAAGTATCAAACATATTAAATCCCAGGCATTATGGACAACCATGTGTAAGGCAGGGCATTGGTTTTATGGCAGTAATTGTTTCACAATTAATAGATGGCAGGATCCAGTCTTTGACTATAAGCAAATAATCTTCACAAAATCACTTTTCTAAATGGATATAGAGTCAGCTCTGAAAAATATTTACCAAAACTATTAAAGTCTGTTATAAAAGTGATTTTCAGATATCAGTGTGATTTGCACTTGGAACAATGAATTAGACACAAAAGAAGCAAATATATCTGAACATTACAAGGACCAAACTACTTTACCAAGGCACAGCCATCTATGTCTCGATCCCTCTTCTGCATCTGTTCTATTGTGCTCTCCCACTGTTCAATGAGTTCTTGTCTTTCTTTATGAATCTTATGAAAATCTTGTGCTGATTTATCCAATTCTAACTGTCAAACAGAGCACAGACAACATTTCTAAGACTTTAAGTGCTTTTGCAAACATCAACTTGTAATTAAAAAATAAAAATCTTCAAGAACCAACCTGGGCAGTTAAAGTCTCTGTAAGTTCGTTGTCAAGAACTTTTCTCTTTTGATTACATTCCAAGGTCAGTCTTTCTAACTTCAGGGTCAGTGCCTATGACGTGGTTACATACAAAATATTAAAAGTTGCTAGATATCATAACAGTATTATTACACATATGTATTTATTTGATATCTAAAACAACTGTAATCTGTTTTCACATAACTTCATGAATATTTAATTGCTTCTAAAATGATTTTAATATTTTCTAAAGGAAATTAGAAAAAATGTTAAATTGTAATATGCCATTTGGAAATACCTAAAAAAATACTTTTGGTATTAAATCTCCCAGAAAATAGCAGGCTTCAAAATACTATGTTAGTATCACCAGATAGAAGTGCGTCTTAAGGAATGGTTATAATAATATCACTCAATAGTAGTACAGTCTCAAATCAGAAAACATTGTATGTAACACTCAAAGTATAGTTTAGACAAAATAGCTAAAATATCAATAAACAGTTCTAGTGTAAGGTGCTGCACACCTTTAATCCAAGCTACTTGGGAGGCTGAGGCAGGAAGATTACAAGTTCAAGGCCAGCCTGGGCAACTTGGTGAGATGCTATCTCAAAATTTAAAAAAATAAAAAATAAACCTTCTAAATCCAGATATCAGTTAAAACATCATTTCTCACCCTAATTTTATTATCATCTTGCTGAGCGTATTTCTGAAGAGTGAGGGCATCACTATCTTTATGAGCTGATTCTTCTAGCCAGGCCTCCAGTGCTTGCTGGTCCCAGTTCATTTGACATTTCAAACCATCCAACTTTTGAGTAGCTTTAAATATGCCATTCTAATTTCCCAGGAATGTGAGAGAAAGGGGAAATTGCAAAATATTATTTACTATACAGACTATAACAAAATATATATTAAAGACTACAGAAAATATTCAGAAGAAATCCTGTCCCTAACTGCCAGATGTTTATAATACACCATTTTAAATCATATAACTACCATCCTTGTATTTTAATTCTTTAATTGTAAAATAGAGAACATTTGAGTGTACAAAGTTGAGAACAGAAGTTAACCAAAGTTTTATTTAAAAAGGTTTTAGACTGCCACCTGCCTCGCAAGCACAAGGGCCCGAGTTCAATCCCCAGTAGAAAAGAAAAACAAAGGCTTTAGACTTTTAAGACATTCTCTGTTATTCCAGCAAAGCCACCCCAAATACACTAAGATTGCATATAAGAATAATAGTCTTAATATGCTAACAAAGAGCCACACGATACATTCCTTTCTCTCAGCCCCATTTCTAATATTTGTTCTCCCAAAGGGGTTTCAAGTATAGAAACTTTGAAAGCACTTCTAATTTTATACTAGTAAAAAAAACAAAAATATTCGTAAATTTGGCCATTTGCTGAATCTAGATTCATAAAAGTGAGAACAATATATAAACAAATATAAATTAATAGATATGTAATTTAACTGCACATATAAATATTACATTGCATTATTGTAAAATAAGTATGTGAAAATGTATACACATACATATGTGTATTTCTGTATACATGCATATGTAAAGAGAAGAGCTCCCAAATCAAGTAACTGAAAACGGAAGAATGAGAAATAGGTGAAGGTAGTTTAATATTAGAGTCACAAAGCCTAAAAATTAAAATAGAAGGTAGAAATTTTAAATGAAATTCACACTAGAATTGATGTTGATGGTTAAAATATAACACTTACATGTCAAGTGGGCCTCGTATTTTATAACAGGTGGCCAACATGATACTTTAAATATAGCAAGTCTCCGTAAGTGATAAATGAATAATGGGGGGAAATGTAGTATTTTATTGTTATTGCATTCAAATCACAACTCCACATCACTTCATTTTCCAACCAATTCAAATCAATGTCAAGAAACTAAGGACTACCTTTCCTATACAAAAAATAAAATCAATGCTCATCTATTGAGAGAGAGGTACAGTAGTATAAACTTTAAGTAACATTTCAGCACATACTTCCTTGTCAGTTTTCTGTTCTCGTATGGAAATTATCTCATTTTCTAGTCGTTGTATTTCACTCTTTACTCGTCCCAATTCTCTTTCAGCAATGGCCTTAAAATGTTCTTCACTTTCAATCTCATTCTCCTTTGCTTTGAAAAGAGACTGCAGAGTAATACACACAATGGTAGTAGTTTTAAAATTCTACTATTATAAAATATTTATAATAATCTATTAGGCAAAAAGAAGTTCCCTCCAATGCTTAGATTAAGAACTATTATCTCCACTATGATGAAACCATAACGTTAGGCTGTGATTATGGTGTGGTTAACATTGCTCACTAGTGATAAATAAGAGTGTCAAGCCTCAGACTGCCCAGAGGAAATATCATCAACAGTCTTCAGATACTATGTTCATTTAGGAAAACTGAAGAAAACCATAGCTTATGTGGTGAGGCCTAAAAACTATAACACATTATTTATAAGTAAGAAATAATCAATTAAAAATAATTGAAAAAAGGAATGTTTATATTATTGATCACATATTATAATTAACAGATAATTTTAAAATATTTTAAAACTGATGGTGGTAAATGTTTCTTAAAGCATATTAGTATACGACTGTACTTTGTTTTTTTTTAATCTCATAAAAATTTTTCTTGACTAATGATGTTGTAATGCCTCAGTTAATACTCTCGCTATTAATTTTATACCACTAGTAGTACTAACACTGCTATTGTTATAGGAAGTTTATCACCTTTTGTCTCTATTTAATCCAGGTTTGTTTATTCAAGTTTGATGGTAATAAGATATACCGACAGTGATCCTATCTCTCACTTCTCCAAATCACTAGTTTAATAACTTCAGGAAAATTGTTGCTCCAAATAATTTATCAATTATGCAAACAAATCAGGATCGAAGAGTACTGCTTACATCAGTATTATTTCAAATGTTTATTAAATATGCAGTTTCCTAGTAAGATGTGCAAACTATTAAAAATACCTACATAGAGTTATAAATTGTTTTTAGAAACATGGCTTTATTCATTTTAAAGAATTACCAATTTTTCTCAGAAAAGTAGATGAACATTTTTTTTTTAATTGACAAGGAAGCCCAATGCTGATTTGTCAAGTTACCTGGTTTTCTGGGCATCATCAGGGAATGAATCTCTACACCTCAATAAATTATTCTTAAAACAGAAACTTATTTCACTACTCCAAGTTTTAATTTAATTACATTTGTGTTGACGTTTCTAAAATGCATTTCCAAGTTATCTTAAACAGTCTACAACATAATTTAACTTTTTAATCTCCTGATTATCATTAAAATTTCACTTCTTGAACTATACTAAAAAAACTTTGAAGCCATAAAGGCTACTGCAGTATGCAGGGTGGAGTGGGCTGAAAAATTGAAAAGGAGTACAGATCTATTCCACATTATCTAAGCTCTGTTTCTACTTATAGCTATCATTTCTCACTGCCATTGTTGTACCCTTCTTATATAAATCTGCTGCTATTACATGAGATTGTTTGGTTAATTTCCCCTTTAATTTGAATTAATTTCTGCTAAAAATTGGTAGAAGTAATTTGTTCCTCAAACCTTTTTGTATCTACTTTCACACTGAAGGTTATGTTCAAGTTGGATTATGCTAGCCTTCTATATCTCTAACATAAAATCACAGATATAAACTGACCGTGAAACAGCCCATGCCTACATGGGTATAATCAACATAAATTTCAATATTACCATACCTGTGTAAATGAGAATTCTTGCTTAACATTTTTGAAGTGAGAATTCATAGCATTAATTCGATCCTCATAGTCATGTAGCTGCTCTTGCAAGTTTGATTTTTCATTCTGCAGCTTTGATAACTGTAAATAATAAATGCTGTGATCAAAGTCCTATTAAGTTTTACCACATTTTAAATTTTTTTAAAAATTAAATGTTTGTCTTGTCACAGTCTGTTAGTGATACTATAACAAAAGTACTATAGATTAAGCCGGGTGTGGTGGCACACACCTGTAATCCCAGCACTGGGGAGGCTGAGGCAGGAGGATGTCTGTGAGTTCGAGACCAGCCTGGGCTACACAGTGAGTTCCAGAGCAGTCTGAACTACATAGTGAGACCCTGTCTCAAAAAACCAAAAAAACAAAAACAAAAACAAAAATAAAAAAACAGATTTGGTGGCTTAAACAACAGAAATTTATTCATCACAATTTTGAGGGCTGAGAATTCTAAGATCAAAGTGTCCACAACCCTGGTTTCTGAGGAAGCCTGGCTTCTTAGTATACACACAGATGCCTTCATGACAGAGAAAAAGATCATTTGTCTGTTATCTCTTCTATTACAGGCACTAAACTCATTTATAAGGGTTCCAGTCCCATGACCTCATTACCTCCCAAAGTCCCTACCTCCAAAACTATCACACTGGGGATTAGGACTTCACCATATGAGTTTGAGAAGGACACAAAAATTCCATCATAAAATTTTGCTTCTCTAAATCTCCATGGGAACTTCTAAGATCTATATTTTAAAGGCAAAACAGTGTTGTCATTTGAAGAATACTATGGGAAAGTAACACAAAACAGAAATCACTCTTAGAATTGCAGCGATAGCGGGATCCATTTCTAAAATGCATTTTTTTCATACAGGAGTATTATATTTTTACAGGGCAAAAATGAGATTCTTTTCCATAACTAAACCACAAGGTTCTCACATGAACAAGCGCATGCTAGCAAGGCAGAAAGAGATAGAAAAGGAGGGAGTGGTGGGAGTGGAGGGAGGGGAAGGGGCAGAAGCCACACGTTTTAGTAGCAGCTATATACCAGGTATGATTTCTCCTCCCTCAGCTTCTTTTCCAAATTCATACACGTAGTTTAAGCTGAACAGAAGTGCTCTTGTGTGCTTAGAATCTATGTCTTAGTATAGTTTGTCCCTGAGCTGGGGATTTGGCTCAGTGGTTCTCCTGCCTGCCTCACAAGTGCAATGGCCTGAGTTCGATCCCCAGTACCCCCCCCAAAAAATATATATAGTCCTTGAATGAGAACCTCTAGTAACAACAAAACAGCAACAATATTAAACAAGCAAAATGAAAATTTGAAAAATTGCAAAACAGTTTCTCAAAACCATTGGAAGATGCCACGCTTCCAAGCAGTATAAAAACTCAACAAAGGAAAAACATACTTCTTCATAATCAAACATCTCCAAAGTTATGGTACCTCTGTACAACAAAGTCCACTGAAATGTGCAATAAAATACTAAAATTTTTATCTAGGGAAAATACTAATGTATTCGTTTATGTCCTATATTTTATTAAGCTCATGAATATTAAATATTAGCTTTTAGAATTATTACATATTTGTCATAGATTTTATATACATATTTCTTATATTAGCTATTTCGTTTATTTCAATTTTGAGATTTAAATCCCCCTTTTATTCACTTCACCATAACTTTAATGTATCAAGATGAGTTATTAATTACTTTTGTGACTTAATAATGAAAGTATGCAAGGCTATCTATATATTTTATCTACGTAAGATTTTGGTATTTTCCATGGATCTGAACACAGACCAGTCCTGTTAAACGTTGTTTTCTAAAAATAGGTGTCATTGTTTGTATCTAAAATGTTCCCCGAAAGTTTGTGTTAAAGGCTTGACCCCCCTCAATGCAGCAATGTTCAGAAATGGGGCCTAGATGATTGGATCATGGGGATGCTACCTCATCAACTGATGAATCCATTGATGAATTCATAGCTGAATAGCTATTAGGAGGTGAGGCTTTGTTAGAAGTAGGTCACTGAGCATGTACCTTTGAGGGGTATATTGGGACGCTGATCCCTTTCTCTCTCCTCTTCTTCCTGGCCTCCACGGGTGAGCAACTTTCCTCCACCACATCCTCTGCCATGATGTTTTTGTCTCACCACAGTTCTTACAGCAATGGAGCTAACTATGAACTGAAATCTCTGAAACCACGAGCCAAAGAAGCCTTTACTGTCTTTCAGTTATTCTCAGGCATTTTTCAACAATAATAGAAAGTTAACACAGAAAGTTGGTACTAAGAAATAGGGTCATTGCTATGACTACGCCTATAACTATGTGGTTCAGAACACTTTGGAACTGGTGTACAAGGTATGTTGGACAAGTTTGGAGACGCAGACTTGAAAAGCGTTACAGTGTTGTAACCCAAACCGAATGGTCAGTTTTTGTGGGAGCTCAAAAGATCCAAGTGCTATGAATTGTAGTTGATGTAAGTTTGTCTTTACAACACAAAATATTTTATATCAGTCTGTGACAACTTGATCCTCACTCGGAAAATTCTAAACTGCACACTTTACGCTCTTGTTAGAATGTCCTTAAAAACATACCATTCAGCTTTAAACATCACAGGAAGAAACTCACAAAGAATATCAACTTGAACATGTTTTGCTTGCGAACATATGCAAATAAGTGTTGCTATGCAAACCTCCAAAATCCCCCTTCCAAATAGTGCTTAATTTCAAGAAAAGCTAAAGCAGGCATGGAAGCCTCTCCTCTCCAGACCAGGAGTCTAGAAGTGAGTAAGTGGAATACGTGAGAAGGGAATAAGGATCCAGGTTTTATAACTCTGAATAGCAACTACTGTTTCAGTAAAAATTTAAAACGCTGAACAATTACCCAAAGGAGCAAGGTGAGAGGAAGAACGTGGTCCAGGGGAGCAAAAACCAGAATAAAGGATGAGATTAGCTAAGGACAAAAATAAAAGGGCTGGGTTGACGCTGCCAACCAGCAAACACCTTCAACAATCCTCTTTCTTCCTTCAAGTCTTTACCTGATCTTCCAGCATTTTGTTCCCTGCGTTTGCCACAGGGAGGGCAAACCCATCCTCCCAATGCAGCTCCGCCAGGAACTCCCTACTCATGGCAAATGGATGGGGAACTCGAGATAAACAGCAGAAAAAAAAACAAAAAACCGCCTTCTCCTCTGGTGGATGATACCCGAGTGCAGCTGAGGAATCAGCAAAGTTGCAGCCAGAGCGCTGGCAACCGTCTCTCGTCCTTAGTTACCAAACAGGAAGAGCTTGGGCAAGTAGGCGGAACTTCCTGTTGGGATCCTTTCCCCCACCCCCACCCCACCCAGCGCACACGTTTCCTGTTGGAGGAATCCGTGTTCGACAGCTCTTGTTAATAGAGCAACTTCTCCCTATGAATTCTCCTAGATTCACTTTCAACCTAAAGGCGGCTCGGGTCGTTAAATGCCCTAACTGCCCCAGAGGGTGTAGGATCTGTGGCCCTGGTGCCGGCCTGAGGATCCCTGGGTCCTTGGACCTCGCTACGCAGCTCTTTCAACAACCTGCGGTAGAGGAGCGCTAACAAGGATAATAAATCTGTTTTATTTCCAAATGAAGCTCCATTCGGGGACCCAGAGGTCCTCAAACCGGTACCGGAACCACCGGCTTAGGGTCCTATGTCAATATTTAAAGATGTGGACTTTTATATAGAAATCCTTTTCTCTAAAAAATCTAGGTAACAGGACCCACATTACCGAAAGACAATATGCAGTTGGAAAGGCGCCCCCTAAAGTTGGCAAGCATTTTGTCAGTTCACTAGTTTGAATTTACCGACTTGCCCTGGATAGTTAGTCTCTGTTGTATAGCACCTCAGGACTAGAAAGAACAAAACAACCAATCTGATTCTTTTATTTTCTAGATGAATTGAGGCTCACTGAGGTGAAGTGGCTAAACATTGTGAGCACGATTTGACTTTATATATCTGATAACTGTCTATAACACTGCTCTAAATTTAAATGTACATGATAATAGAAAGCATTGTAATAGCTAAAACTTGGAAACAGCCCATTTGCCCATCAGTTGGAAATTGGATAAAGAAGATGTGGTTTTTCTATAAAATGGAATACTATTCAGAAATAAAGAATGAGAAATTAGATTAATTCATAGGAAAGTGGATATATATTGAGGATACACTCAAGTGAAATAAATAAGTCACACATGTGTAAATACCGAATAGTTTCTCCGGTGTGAATAAACTATAACAGTACATAAGATCCTAATGAGATACCTGTCATTGTGAAATGGGAAGAAAAGGGCTAAAGGTGTTGGGAAAGTGGGAAGGGTAGGGGAAAGGTAATAAGGGAAAGAAAAAATATGAGAAAATGAAAAAATAGAAATAAAATGTTTGCAAATGGGAAGGGAAGGAGGGGGTGAAGGGAGGGCAGGGATAAGGGGAAAAAATGAGAACCAAGACCTGTCATGTAAGGGTACAAGACCCCAATAATGAATGTAACTGTGCTGTATACCTAAAATGTACCAATAAACGCAACGAAGAAAAAAAGGAAGCATTGTGTAAAGGTGTTTATCACCTTGATTTAAAGTTCATATTTTGATATATTAGCTTAATCTGTAACTTTTGCTCATATATGAGATGTCATCAAATGCTACGGTATATATTTAAATTGTATAAATGACAGTAGAAAACATGTTGCCATGAATCCTTCTCAAAATACTCCCCCCTCACTTCAAACACACTGACCCCAATTTCTGCCACTTTCTGGAGCAGGTCTGGAAGTCTACTTTCATGTCTCTAGTTGTGATGTGTGGCTGCTTTGATTCCCTGAACGGCTTCAAAGCATTTATCTTCATCTTCACGGAAAAGCCAAAATTCACACAGTGCCGGATCATGGCACTTGGCAGCACCATTCACAATACCTATGATCACGTACCCTAAAGATACCTTTTACAACTGGTTTGTTAACTATAGTTTTGAAATCTTCTTTTAGTACTTTTGTCTCCTTGCACATTGTTTTCTTTAAATTTGATCTTGTGGACTTAGAAATAGTGCCTTTAAAGACTAGAACTAGCAGGAATTTTACTCCCCACTTCTGTAATGCTTTAAATGTATCGGGTAACTGGGGAGAAAGACAATTCCTAAAGAAATTTGAACCTGTGTAGAATAATGGAATTTTAAGAACACAAATACTTTATAGGGTTCATTTACCTTATAATAGTTTAGTCATTCCCACTAATGAAGATGTTAGTATGTAACTTATGCTAAAATGGCAAGTAGTCATTTATACTTAAGATTTGTTGTGATGATATTGGCTTTTTTAAATGATTGGAATTATTACTGCCCCTGTAAACATTACTAATTTCCCATCCTGTTTATTAATGAAGATTGATCTACACCCATTTAGTGTTAGCTGTAGCTGCCAAGTACATGTCTACAGATATCTTGGTGGGTACAGTGCCTGTGCTCCATGGACATAAGAAGTCCACTGGTGCAAGCCCTGCAAAAAAGCCCATGTCTCATATTTCAAGGATTCTGTTTCTGGAATTTAAGGGTGACAGTTACATGATGTTTAATTCTTCATGAAATGTCCATATATCCTGCAAATTCTATTCTAACTTAAAATAATAGCCCTGTTCACCTTATCACCACAGCATCCTGTGTCAACTTAATTCTCAAGTTCTAGAATATAACTACACCTGAATTTATTCAAAGCTAAACATCAAAGTAAAATCCATAGTTTTATAAACCTTATTGCTGAGCATGAAATCCTTTAATTCCAAAACACTTTGGTAGATCTAACCCTTTTATTAACTTATTTCCACATAATCGACCTTGCCTAAATCAAGTTATTAAGGCTAAAATATAAAGAGAACTTTTGTTTTCAAAAATAAGGTTGTTAAAAATAGAAAAATATGTAAATATAAAACAAAATAAAAGCTGTCTTTCCATCTGCATTCCACTCTTTCCCAGGAATTTCTGTCTGGTGTTTCCTCTACTAGCATATTTTAAAGTTAGTTTTATTAGTACATGTGATGTGTACAATATAATGACATTCACTGTTGGAAATTTGTACCTTTACATAATCTAATCTTGGTTCTCTTACCTCCATTGGTTCCTACCCTCCATTGAATCCTCCCTCCCTCCCTATCTACCTTGGTTTCCATTATTTTTCTTTTCTTCATATTAATTCCATCTCCTTCTTTCCTTTATTTCCCCTTCCCCTTTGTCCCTTTTTCTACGAGCATATTTTTAATTAAGCTACAAATCTGCACATACATGAGTTTTTGTCCTACAGAAATAGAATCATATTAAAATATTGTGCAAATTCATTTGGGGGAGGTAACAGTGGTGGCCATATTTCCATGGCAGTACACTTAGATTACCTTCCCATTTTAATGCAAGTTCAAAATTCAATATTTCATCAATCACCTATGACTTTTCAAGCAATACTGAAGGTGACATATTTATAATACTGTATGTTACCAATTCTAGAATGTACTTCTTTTCACATTTTAATATCCCTGAAGCTGGGGTGCATCTTTTAATAGTGTCTTAAATTTGGTGTGATAAGACATGATCTTATTGCTAACATGTTTCTTCAAAGCATAATCTTGAAATAATATTAATGGAGAAGCAATTTTAAGACATGAACAATCTTATTTTGATAGATAACATTAAACTATCTTTGATAAAGCTTTTACTTACCAATAACATGAAAGAATCATTGCACACTCTGGATATTAACTATTTCACAATCTAAAAGCAATATACAGTTGTTAACATTTCAATGAACAAATTACACTAAGTATCACATTTCTGAGTATGCACATCACATTTCTTGTAAAAATTTCTTTATCATGTCCTTTACCCACACTCCCTCTCTCATACTTTTATTAAATTATAGCAGTGCTTTTAATGTTATTGATAGTATTCTCTATACATACATCAGTAATATTTTTCTCTCACGTTGGCTTTGGTTCTATATGTGCCTTTGTTTTGGGGATATTTTACCATCCACAGCTCAGAAAATACTCTTGCTGCCATGATCAGGCTTCCTTATCAGGCTTTTGCATCACCAACTTCACTGATCCAGCAGCAGCATTCCATTTAGCTGTACTTCCCCCATTAAAACATTTCTCCTCTTAGTTTTTATGTCTCTTTCTGTAATAAGGGAAAATTTCCTATTAATCTGCTCAGTCTTGCTGTTTTCTCTTGTCCTCTTTGGCCTCTAAATGTTGGTATTTCTGAAAATCCAAAGCCAATGCCTCCATTTTTCTCTCTTTGCACTTGCTCCACAGGTGATTGTGTTTGTTTCCTTGTCTCTAAATAACAAATGTTGGTGGGGTTGTGGGGAAAAAGGAACTGTTCTCCATTGTTGGTGGACATGCAGACTCGTGCAACCACTATGGAAATCAATATGGAAATACCTCAAAGAACTAGGATTAGAGGTCCCATTTGACCCAGCCATCCCTCTGCTGGGTATCTTTCCAAAAGAATTAAAAGAATCATATCACAGTGATATGTGTCCACCCATGTTTATAGTGGCACAGTTTGTAATAGCTAAAACTTGGAAATAGCCCATTTGTCCATCAGTTGGAGACTGTATAAAGAAGATGTGGTTTTTCTATAAAATGGAATACTACTCAGCCACAAAGAATGAGAAATTAGAGTCATTCATAGGAAAATGGTTGCACATTGAGTATATACTCTAAAGTGAAATAAATGAGTCACACATGTGTAAATACCAAATAGTTTTTCTGATGTAAAAAAAAACTACAATTGTACATAAGATCCTAAAGGTATAATCGACAATGTGAAATAGAAACAAAAGGGCTAAAGGTATAGGGAAAGAGGGAAGGGTAGGGGAAAGGAAATATGGGAAAAGAAAAAAATATGAGAAAATGAAAAAATGGAAATAAAGTATTTGTAAATAGGGAAGGGAGGAGGGGATGAAGGGAAGACAGGGATAAGGGGGAAAAATGAGAACCAAGATCATGTAAAGGTACAAGATCCCAATGATGAATGTAACTGTGCTGTATACCTAAAATGTACCAGTAAACTCAATGAGAATGAATGAATGAATGAATGAATAAATGAATAAATAAATAAATAAATAAATAGCATTGCTGGGGGATGTATTACTCTGCTAGGATAGCATAGCAAAATACCACTATCTGTGTGACAAACAACAAATATTTATTTTCTGCAATTTCTAGAGGCTGAAAAGCCAAGATTA